GATATAATGGCGGTGTAACCGCGAGAGTGATATAATGACAGTGTAACTGCGAGTGAGATGGCGGTGTAACCGCGAGAGTGATATAATGGCAGTGTAACTGCGAGTGAGATGGCGGTGTAACCGCGAGAGTGATATAATGGCAGTGTAACTGCGAGTGAGATGGCGGTGTAACCGCAAGTGAGAAATAGATAAGAGAATGTAATGGCAGTGTAATCCGCGAGAAACATAAATATACTTATGTTTCGGAACATGTTTGATTCTAAACTGATTGTTTGGAATGTATATTGTTGTATGAGATTATACACTCACTAGACCTTTTGGTCTAATGCTCAGATGTTGGACTAACCTGTTTTGCAGGTCAGTTTACGATGAAAGATAAAGGCAAGGGAAAAGTCTAAATGTTGATATTAGTTTGCTTTGCATATGTATTAAAGATACATTTTGATAGTTCATGTTTTGTAATAATACTATTTTAGTATTATGAGTATGATGATGTGAATTATATGTATTTGGAATGTAAGGGTTGTTACACCCAAGACATTGGGTCATTTCGGTAATTTTATAAAGCAAATATGTAAAGTATTGCTAAAATACCGATTTCCAAATACATGGTCGTTTTGGTAAATTTTAAAATAATAATATAAAAATGAAGCTCATAAACCAATCCCCAAGATAAATGGTTATTTCGGTAAATTTTGGAAGCAAATACGTAAAGTATTGTTAAAATATCGATTTCCCACTTATAGGGTCATTTTGGTAACTAAATGAAATAAATAATCGAAACTGGATCAAAGTTTGCGTTTCACAAACTCCAAATAAATTTGATGAAAGCCTTATAAAGTTATTACGGGAAAAATAACTTTATGAAACTTTAGGGAGTAAATGCAAATTTCTGAAACTTAAATATTCAGTGCATATTAATAATAAAAATGCATTATATATAGCAAAATCAAACTTAGCGTACTGGTTAACGCTTGCAACTTCAAGCTGAGGTCACAAGTTCGATTCCCGCCCTCAACAACTTTATTCCAATATTTTTAAATAAGAGTAAACGGACGCGGGTCCTGGGTCAGGCCGACCCGGGCCGTGGCCCAGCAACAAGAATGGCCCAAGACGAAACCGGCCCAAGATAAAAACTGCAGGTCTGCAGCCATGGCTGCTCATTTTCGAGCATGAAAATGACTCGTTTCTTGATCATTTTTCTTCATTCTTTTTGCACCAAACTCTTGGTAATATTTTTACCAACACTTTGACATAAATAACATGAATTTTCATCAAGAAATGAGTTCCATTTACTCATTTAAAGTTTGTTTTTAAAATTAAACTTAACAACTTAAAAACATAAAAAAAATCGAACAACGAAAACACAAATATGAGACATGAGGCTACTGAGGTTTGATAGATGACCTAAAAACGAAACTATAGCCATAAAAATCAAGAGATTTGGTGAAGAATCTCACCTAAAATCGGTGAAAAACCGAGATTTTTGATTCCGAACTTCAAACTCAGATTTCTCTCTCAAAACTCAACTATTTTTCGAGCTACTTGAACCGAAACGTTCCTAAGCCAGAGCTCTACAATTTATATGCCAAGAGTTTTGGCTTATTAGTTGAAGAAATCGGACAAAATCGCGAGTTTTAGGCTGATGGGTCGTTTTCTCTAACAGTTATGTACTTTTGGCAAAACAGGTCCCTCATCTTTGAAAAAGATGACATTCAGCCCCCTCAAGTTTCTGACATTTACCATTGGACCCCTCCTGACATAATATCTTACATTTTTGGTCAAATAATTAAAAGAAAACAAATTCTATTTTATTTTCATTTTTTGTCTTTTCTTTTTATTATTTATTTATTTAAGATTTCTATTTTATAATCTTTAATTAATTACATAAATATTTTACATTTAAAAAAAATATTTAAAGGCCCATGTAATATTATTTATATATTTAATAAAAAAATGGGTTTTACAGATACTGCTAATGAGAGTCAAGTCCCTGTCACCAAAGTTTATAATGACTATCAAATAGAAATAGAAAGATGTGTTGTAACGATCCGACTATTCCCTATGCCGATAAGGGAATTTGATAGTGGTGGGTATGAACTAGCTGCCAGAGAATCAAGAAAGTATTGTATGCAACAAGAAAATGATACGTATTGATCTTCCGGGTAAGTGGCTGATTGTAATTTATGGTGATCAGCGGGGATCATCATACGAGCCTGTTTTATCTCTTAAAGGATCGCAAGTGTGTTTAAAAAGGGTGTCAAAGCTTCTTGGCATATGTAATTGATTCTAAGAAGGAAAAAGATCAACATGAATCTATTCCAGTGGTTTATGAGTATCCCGAAGTATTCCCAGACGAGTTATCTAATTTACCTCCAGATTGGTCAGTCGAGTTTCGAATTGATCTAACACCGGGAGCGGCACCGGTAGCTCGTGCACCGTATCGTTTGGCACCGTCTAAGCTGAAAAAGTTGATGACATAGTCAAAAGAACTGTTGGATAAGTGTTTCATTAGACCGAGTACATCTCCATGGAGTGATCTAGTTCTATTTGTTAAGAAAAAGGATGGGTCGACGCGGATGTGTATAGATTACTGAAAATTGAACAAACTGACGCTAAAGAATAAATATCATTACCCAGAATCGATGATTTATTTGATCAGTTAGTCGGGACAAGCTATTTCCCCAAAATTGACTTACGGTCTGGTTATCATCAATTGAAAGTTCGGGATGAAGATATAACCAAAACAGCTTTCCATACCAGGTATGGGCATCATGAGTTTCTGGTTATGCCATTTGGTTTGCCTAAGGCACCGGCTGCTTTTCTTTATCTATCAATTTCCATTTACCCAAACAAATTCTGGCTTTAATTGAGCAACTGACTAGGTTTAATACATCTTAATGTTGTATTTATCTTCCTTTTATTAGTTAAGTTGTTACGTAGATGGTTTTGAATCATGGTAACAAAGGTGTAGAAGGAGAATATTTATACCTTTTAATATTTATACGACATTCAAATATTATCATCTCCATCTTCTAGAATTCAAGTCCCTGCATGCAAAAAATATGTTGAAAATTTAGAGCAAATGTGATTTAAGAATGATTGAAAAACCCTACGAAATTAACAACATTTATATACCTGTTGCTGTTTGGTGTTAGCTATAAAGGAGTTGAGGCTTTCCTCTTTTACTAATTCACACCTCCCAAAACTTGTATCAATTACTTGTAGCTCTGGAGTTGCTGAATGTGCCTTTGTGAAAACTTCTATTGATGGGCAATCGATGATTTTCAGGGTATCCAAGGATGGCCATGATAAAGCCTCATTTCCTAAGTAACATCCCTTGAGACGTCGAAGATTGATGAGTATTAAGGACTTCAGTTGAGGTAACATAGTAATAATCTCGTTCACTTTCCCATCACATTCTTCTTCTTCTTCCTTAACAATTACCTCCATATTTGAGCAATGAATAATACGTATCTCTTGGAGTTGCAGTAGACTACCAACCATGGAACTACTAAATACATGTCTTAACATATAACATCCATGGATACACAATTTTGTTAGGTTTGGAAACTCAAGTACCATCCATGGGTTGTTCTTCCATATATACTCGAGTCTAAAAAGACGATCTAAATTCACTTCTGTTAGCTTTGGAATTTCTACAACAGATTGTAACTCGCTGCTACCTGTCCCTTCCAATGCTTCAAATACATTCACTACCAAATCACAGCCATATACATGGATCTTTTCCAGCTTTTGCAGTTGCAACAACTCATTGGATGGAATAATCTTTTCAACATCGCAGTTGTTACTTGCATCGATTTCAATCAAATTATGAAAAGACCAAGGTGTCCCTTCTGAAGTAGTAGCGCATGAGTTTGTACTGTCTAAACTTGAGCATGGGATCTGCAAGTCAAAAAAAAAAACATAAAGAAGGCATAGGTTATATGAGATGTCGATATGTTGATGAGATTGGAAGAGTAATAATTAATAAAGGATGACTATAATCAATAAAGACATGATCATCATCATCATTGTTATCGTTATTGTTATAATTAACCATGATAATTAACTCCAACCCATAGTTTTGTTGGGTTAATGTTGGGGGCCAAGTGTGCCGGACCGGAAATACGCATTTATTTTGATCGTCTTTTACTTTTTGTTTATTTATTTGCAAACTTTGATCGTTGGAAAATAGAAATTTTTAACGGGACCAAAAACATAATTTACTCTAGATAAAACAAAAAAAGAATGCATACACTACCTGTTTCCGACCCTAGATGGGGACCCTTAAAAAGTTGCTGACACATATTACGTAGGATTCAAAACAGGACTCAGACTTGCACCGAGATCCAACCAAAACAGTTGGTGTTTTCAATCTCTATATATGGAAGTCCTGTTTTGGATATTTTTGTCCTTCAAATTGGAAAAAGTTGATTCAAGGCATATATTTCTATGGACAAACTAAACTTTTAGATAAACTAGCTAGTATCAATGTGTTCAATAGCTAGGATGATGTCTTGATTAGAAGATGCAAAATTAAAAGCTTGAAACATACCTCATGCAAAGTGGACCCCATCACAGGAAAGTTAAGACCACATTCAAGACTATATTTGCCTAACTTTGTGTGTATGTAATTGAGCTTTGGAGTTATCGAGAGACTAGATGTGAACACCGTCATTTGGGGGCAAGCATCAATCATAACCTTATTCAATAATGGCCATTCGAACTCATTCTTCCCCAAGAAGAAACCCGTGAGATTTGGTAGATCTCCTAGTTCAATGGACTTTAGACGAGGAAAGACCACAGCCTTAGATGATATCGTTGTTTGCTCTTCATTGTCTTCCTTCACAATCACTTCCACTGACTTGCATTTGATTATTTCCAGCTTTTCAAGCTGTGTGATGCTTTCAAACGTGGAAAATGTGAACACATGTTTCAAAAGGTCACAATTGTTGATTACCAATATCTTTAGGGTGGACAGCTGAGACGCATTAATATTTTTCCTTGTTGGAATTAGCAGTGTGTTATGATCAGTACCACTACTTGTTCCATCAAACTTGAACCCTTGAGTTGCAAATACCTCCACCTGCGATTTGCAATACTCTATTTTCAGCTTTTCAAGCTTTTGCATTTGTGCTAATACATAGGATGGAATCACGTATGGCAATGCTTCACAATTGTGTATCTTTATCTTTTTAAAGTATTGGCATAAGGACCAAGCAACATCATTTACTTGAGATAACTGCAGTAAATATATATAGAATCATTTACAAAACTATTTGTAACTCTAAAAACGTTGTTGCATTAAAGATTTGCTTTTATTCATGATGTATAATATTGTTTAAAATGTTGAAATTAAGAAAACTCATTTATTAAATGATACCGAATTTACAGGTGAAATTAAGGAGATGCAATCTTTATAAATGAGCCAGCCACATTACATTAATCTTGACATGAAACTATAATGAATTAAAGTTTAATCTTAAATATTATGATTTGTGTTTTTAATGATTGATAAAACATAACTTTTGGATCATCATTAAGATTTTTACATATATCTATACTGTATTATAAAGTATTTGACAAAAACTCTTAAATATCACTTTTTATGCGTAA